ATCCATCTATTTATCCATCTATCCATCTAGCTATATCTTTAGATAGATATTTTAAAATCATGGGATTTAAAAAGCATTTGTTTAGTAAGGAATACTCCAAAATATCCAGCACAAATAATAATCCACTTGTGGATCTGTAGGGATGGAAATTCCGTAACTATTTGTAGTGGTTTTTTAACTGAAAAGTCTCTGATGGTTGAGAATTTTTTTTTCCTTAAGCTTAACTGAAATCTCTCTGATTTAATTTAAATCCACATTCTCTTGCTCTGTCTGATCTTCAGAGCCATAAAAACATTTTTTTTTCTTATAAAGACACAAATAAAGCTGCATTAGACATATCTTTTATCATATTAAATATAATTATCAAATTTCCTCATTATTTAGAATTTACCATTTGTAAATGTCTTTCTCCCTTGGACCTGCTTTGATCCTATAAATTTACAGGTAGCCTGTATCTTAAGAAGGATTAGAAATCTGCAGTAAAAAAATTCATATATTTGTTGTGACCCCTATCTCTTTGGGGCTTCCCAAGTGGCACTAGTGGTAAAGAACCTGCCTACCACTGCAGGAGACATAAGAGACGGGGGTTCAATCTCTGGGTCGGGAAGATCCTGATCTTCCCGAGGAAGGAAATGGAGGAGGAAATGGCAACCCACTCCAATATTCTTGCCTGGAGAATCCTATGGTCAGAGGAGCATGGCAGGCTACAGTCTATGGGGTCAAAAAGAGTTGGACATGACTGGACCACTTAGTATGCCTATCCCTTCTTACTCCTTCACATTTATTCCTGCATTTGCTGGGACATTGAAGACTTTAAGGGGATCTCAGGAATAGTTGCGGAGAAGGCAATGGCACCCCACTCCAGTACTCTTGCCTGGAAAATCCCATGGATGGAGGAGCCTGGTAGGCTGTGGTCCATGGGGTCGCTAAGAGTCAGACATGACTGAGCGACTTCACTTTCACTTTCATTTTCATGCATAGGAGAAGGAAATGGCAACCCACTCCAGTGTTCTTGCCTGGAGAATCCCAGGGATGGTGGAGCCTGGTGGGCTGCCATCTATGGGGTTGCACAGAGTTAGACACGACTGAAGTGCCTTAGCAGCAGCAGCAGCTGCAGCAGGAATAGTTGCAGTAATGACAATTTGGTTGCTTTTGAATTTCTTGCTTATTCTGGGTAATTTAACTGTCTGAGGCTGTAAGGGTGAATTCCTGGTTGCTGGAAACACGCTAGAAATGCTGTGCAAGATGCTTTCTGTGCGTCACCTTGAACAATTCTACAGCAACACTGCTGAGCAGGGATGCTCATTCCTACATGAAGAAAAGGACATTGATACCCACGCAGATTGGGTGACTGGCCAGCCAAACAGCAAGTCTACATCAGACTGGATACCATCTCAGTTTTCTCTGAGTTCATAATACAGTTTTGTTATTTTAAAGAATAAAAGTGCAACTGATTCTTTCTTAGTTTAATTTGGCGAGCATGTTTAGTATATCATTAAAGCTTTCAATTAGACAGAATTTACTTTTCGCCAACTTGATAAGGAATGAGTTGAAACTCAAAATAGTGATAGCTTCCACTCCATTCTGCCATAAGTCTTTCCTGGTGGTTACATAGAACCTTAAGGTTCATATATAGCTGTCTTCCATGGCAAATGGCAAACCATGAACCAACCAGAAGGATTTGAAATAAGACTTCTGGAACAGTCTCACTGTGGATCGCTCAGGAAGATTTTGGTGAAGTTCAAAGTCAGGGACGTCACAGATGCCACAGCTACAGAATTCTCCAAACTGTTCAGAAGGGGGACACAGAGGTGGAGATGGTGGTGAATGATGGGGTCCATCCCAGGCCACAGCATCTCTTCCTTCCCTATCTTTAATAATGGAGGATGGCACTAATGCTGCAGAAACAGTACTTTAAAAATTATTTTGTAAAACTTGTTATTATGAATGAATTATGCATACATAGAAGCACATATGGGGCTTCCCTGGTGACTCTGGTAAAGAATCTTCCTGCAATGTGGGGACCCAGGCTCAATCCCTGGATTGGGAAGACTCCCTGGAGAAGGAAACGGCAACCCACTCCAGTACTCTTGTTTGGAAAATCCCATGGACAGAGGAACCTGGTGGACTACAGTCCACGCGGTCCCAAAAAGTCCCCAACATGACTGAGTGACTAACACTTTCACTTTTTTTTTCACAAAAACATAGTAATAGAATATTTAATGGCATTCCAGCATTCTGTTTAAGAAATAGAGCATCACAAATACAAGTGAAACTCTTTCTGGGTCCACTCAAATCCTAGCCCCATCTCCCTTCTCTTCCCAGGGGTAATGTATGTTTAAGATTTACGCATCATAGCTTTAGTTCATTCACTTTCACTGATTTGTAGTGTTCTGATATATGAATACACTATAATGTATTTACTTTCAAATTTATGGACAATTAGGAGATGGGGTAAATTTGGTAGAAAAGTATGTGATTCAGTTCAGTTCAGTCGCTCAGTTCTGTCCGACTCTGCGACCCCATGAGTTGCAGCATGCCAGGCCTCCTGTCCACCACCAACTCCTGGACTTTACTCAAACTCATGTCCATTGAGTTGGTGATGCCATCCAGCCATCTCATCCTCTGTCGTCCCCTTCTCCTGCCCCCAATCCCTCCCAGCATCAGGGTCTTTTCCAATGAGTCAACTCTTCAAATGAGGTGGCCAAAGTATTGGAGTTTCAGCTTCAACATCAGTCTTTCCAATGAACACCCAGGACTGATCTCCTTTAGGATGGACTGGTTGGATTTCCTTGCCATCCAAGGGACTCTCAAGAGTCTTCTCCAACACCACAGTTCAAAAGCATCAATTCTTTGGTGCTCAGCTTTCTTTACAGTCCAACTCTCACATCCATACATGACCACTGGAAAAACCATAACCTTGACTAGATGGACTTTTGTTGGCAAAGTAATGTCTCTGCTTTTTAATATGCTATCCAGGTTGGTCATAACTTTTCTTCCAAGGAGTAAGCGTCTTTTAACTTCATGGCTGCAATCACCATCTGCAGTGATTTTGGAGCCCCAAAAAATAAAGTTTGATTAGATATGAGTTATTTTCTAGCTTTCTTTTTGTTTTGGGAGATGAGTTCAACAGACACTTGTTACATTATTAAAAATAAGTAGATGAGTATAAACTGAACATGTGTCTTGAACCAAGTGAAAGTGAAAGTTGTGTTCAGCCGTGTCCGACTCTTTGTGACCCCATGGATTATATAGTCCATGGAATTTTCCAGGCCAGAATACTGGAGTGGGTAGCCTTTCTCTTCTCCAGGGCATCTTCCCAACCCAGGGATCAAATCCAGGCCTCCTGCATTGCAGGTGGATTCTTTACCAGTTGAGCCACAAGGGAAACCTGTCATGAACCAAGGATCATGATTAATTCAATTAAAATATACCGGATTATGAATAAGAATGACATCTATATTTGTTTGTTAAGGCTGCCATACTAAGTACCAGGGATGGGGTAACTTAATAGAAATTTATTTTCTCACAATCATGGGGGCTAGAAGTTCAAGATGAAGGTGTTGGCAAGGCTGGTTTCTTCTGAGGCTTCTCTCCTTGGCTTGTGGAAGCTGTCTTTTCCATCCTGAGTACTCCCGTGGTCTTCACTCTGTGTGTGTGTCTGATTCCTAGTCTCTTTTTCTTATACAAATACCAGTCATACAGTGTCTGGGCCTATACCAATGACCTCATTTAAACTTAGAGGTCTTTAAAGACCCTATCTCCACATACAGCCACATTCTGAAGCACTGGGATTTAGGGCTTCAACATATGAATTTTGCAGGATGTAATCAAGTCCCTAACAACTGTTACAGACAGTGCTTCAAAGACATTCCAGTAAAGTTCTCCCTGTTCTTTTTGTACAAGTAAGTGCAAGTCTCCCTGGGAAATCCACTTAAGTATGGAAGGGTGAAGTTGTATTAGGGAGTACTATGAAGTGAACGGATAATGAGGATGTATACAGGGTGAAGCAAGTGATAGTTGGACCATAAAGAAAGCTGAGTGCCAAAGACTTGATGCTTTTGAACTGTGGTGTTGGAGAAGACTCTTGAGAGTCCCTTGGACTACAAGGAGATCAAACCAGTCCATCCTAAAAGAAATCAGTCCTGAATATTCATTGGAAGGACTGATGCTGAAGCTGAAACTCCAATACTTTGGCCACCTGATGCAAAGAACTGACCCCTTAGAAAAGACCCTGATGCTGGGAAAGATTGAAGGCAGGAGGAGAAGGAGAAGACAGAGGTTTAGATGATTGGATGGCATCACCGACTCAATGGACATTAGTTTGAGCAAGCTCTGGGAGATGGTGAAGGACAGGGAAGCCTGGCGTTCTGCAATCCATGGGGTCACAAAAAGTCAGGCACAACTGAGCAACTGAACCATGCAGGGTGAAAGTCTGGAAAAATAGCAATAAGAGTAGCTAGCATTTTTCAAGTGACAATAACTATATTGTTGTTGTTTTTCAATCACTAAATCGTGTCCGACTCTTTGCAACCCCATGGACTGTATCCCACCAGGCTCCTCTATCCATGGGATTTTCCAGGCAGGAATATCATAGTGGGTTGCTATTTCCTTTTCCAGGGAATCTTCCCAACTCAAGGATCAAATCTGCATCTTCTGCATTGACAGGTGGATTCTTTACCACTAAGCCACCAGAAACTTTATTTAATTTTTACAGCATCTATTTCAGGTGAATATTATCATTATTCCCATTTTATTGATAAGGCAACTGAGGCTTAAGGAAATGAAGTAATCTTTCTAAGGGTCCAGAGAAGCCAGTGATAAAGCTGGGATTTTAACCCAGGCCTGTTTGATTCCAAAGCCTGTGCTTTTGTAGGCTGTAGCTTCATTCGGAGAACACACACACACACACACACACACACACACACACACAATCTCCATGAAGTGTTGTCCTGCAGCACAGCTAGCCACTAGTTCAAAAATCTCTTCATCAAGCTGCACTACACGTGGCTAGAAAATGAATGACAGGCGGGTGAAAACAGCCCAGGAAAAGAAAGGAGGTACAAATTCCCTGGAAAACAACTCCCAGAAAGGCCCATCTGTGTTGACTGATAGAAACAGAAGTGGGTAGAATTCGTGCGGCTGTGGATCTCTTGTCTTGGAGCAGGGCACACACGACAGCCTGTGACGCCAAGAGGTGAAGGAAGTGGCTGCGAACAATGGCCACAGATGCCAGCGGAGGAGATGGCGCTGCTGCGTGGGGGAGTCGTGTCACCCCGCAGCTGGGGGACGAGCGCGGGAAGGAAGTGCAGGACCCGGGGCAGCACGGCCTCCCTCCCGGGGTTGCCGTGCGCCCCAGTGACCTCAGAGACGCAGGGCACCTGGCTCATGCGCACTGTCAGCACAGGTGCTTCATCATCATTGTTGTTATTCCCGTCACGTGGCCCGTTCCCCGCAGACACACAGACAGAAACAGTAGCCTCTTTGAAAGAGGAGATAAGAATTAGATTAATAAGCCTGCCATTAACATCCCAGGCGCGCAGCGGAGGGGGGGGAGGAGGCGGTGAGGGAAGGGGTCTGCTCTATCCCCAATGAATGCAACCTTCAAATAACACTTGTCCCTGGACAACCTTTGGGAGGGAAATGTGCCATTCTTTTTTTCGACTTTTTTTTAAAACAAAAATCAGAATATGCCGATCTTCTCACCCTAAAACAAGCTCCCAAAGGGAAATTCAGATCTCACCTGAAGCAGGAGCAAAAGTGATTTTCCGTAAATGAAAATGTAGTTCTTAGGGTGAGGATACTAGTTACACAAGGTCAAGTGATTTGAAAAGGTTTTAACTCTGTTTTTTTTTTTTTTTTTCCCTTTCTTTCCATCTCTTCAGCCCAACTGGAATTTCTTCCCTTGGAAAGTTCTAAAGGATCATATAGAATGAGAGGTAGGAATGAAGTCATGTTTGTGCTTCGGAGATAGTCCGTTGGTACAATCTGTAATGCTTTCCCCAGCGTAATTTAGAACAATGTGGCTTTGAGTGGAGCTGGAGGCCTGTGTTTCTGTCCAGGGCAGGTATGACCCAGGGAGGAAGGAGGAAGGGCCACCTCCTGCACCGGTGGACCTGCTGGCTTGGAACTCAGAAGGGCAGAAGGGTGGTGGGGACTCCACTTTGCTGTGGTTCGCTTTTAGGCCGATTGCTCTGTGTGTGTGTGTGTGTGTGTGTGTGCGCACTCTGGGGGCAGGGCGAGGGTGATAAATACTGGGGAGAATTTTGCAATGCATGCCTATCAGCTGAGCACTGGACAAACATTTTTACCAGCAGCTCCTTCCCCGGGGCTGCTGACAGCTTGTGCAACTTGTGTGAGACATTCCTGAAAGAGAGGCGCATTTGTTCAACTTATATAACTTCTTTTTCTATCATAAGACTCAAGCAGTCCTTCCGGGCCCATGTCCTGTTGAACGGAGTCCAATTGAAACTTCTTTCCTTTCTGCACTCAGAAACCTGACGACCTGTTTCAATGCTGCCTGATAGCATAGCTTACTGTTTGCCTGGAGTACTTCTCTGGCCCTCCCATACACCCTAAATTTCGTAATGACATTCCTTCTTCCTCTTGCAATTCTATCTAATTGTTAAAAAAAAAAAACAACACAACACCACTTCACCGAATCTCCGGATTAACAATCTCTGAAATGTATTCTTAAATTGAGTTTGTGTATGTGAATATATGCATGTACCTATCTATAGGCATACATATATATATAGATTTTATTAAATAAAGGGCTTCCCTGGTGGCTCAGATGGTAAAGACTCCGCCTGAATGCAGAAGACCTGAGTTCGGTCCCTGGGTTGGGAAGATCCCCTGGAGGAAGGCATGGCAACCCACTCCAGTATTCTTGCCTGGAGAGTCCCCATGGACAGAGGAACCTGGAGGGCTACAGTCCATGGGGTCACAAAGAGCCAGACATGACTGAGCAACTAAGCACAGCACATATATAATAAAATATGTATTTAAAATTTTTAATTTTGTTGGAGTATAATTGCTTTACAATGTTGTGTTAGTTTTTGCTATACAAGGAATAAATCAGCTATATGAATACATGTATACCCTCCCTCTTGGACCTCCCTCCCAACCCCACCTGGCCCCCCAATCTCACTCATCTAGGTCAGCACAGAGCACCCAGCTGAGCTCCCAGTGCTATATTTTTAAAGCATAGGGGAGACTGTATATTTCTGGAATTGCAAGGGAAGAGTTTAGCTTGTGAAGTTTGTGGGGTATCACCACATGTACACAGCTGGGCCCACTGCTGCTCAGGACTATGGGGTTTTTTTACTCAAGCACCTCCTGCCCTTGGTGAAAGAGTTTAAATATTTGGTATAGAGTTTCTTATATTTGGCATAGCTTTTATTTTTTACCCCTGTCCATTTCTTTTTTTTTTTGACAAAAATGCTGACAAGTTATGTTTGATTTGTCTTTATTTAGAGGTTTTCAATACAAATTGGTTTAAGGCATTATGATTCAATCCAAGTAATCTGATAATCGTTATTCAGTGCTTCTCAATACTTCTAATTCTGTGGCCTTGTAAGATTTCCAACTCAGCAAAGCAAGCCTGGCAGTCGGGGACTGACTTAGCCAGGCTGTCTTTTGTTTCGAGGTGTACTGTTTACTAGGCACCTTTACAGAGGTATTGCCTTGCCCAGCAGCCCATGAGTAAACAGCATGGGTGTTGTTAGATTTATCTGACAGATGAGGCCACAGGGCTCCGGCCCAAGTCACAGTTGGTTAAGTCGCGTAGCAAGTCTCCTTTCCCCCAAAGCACTTATTGCTCAATCGTTGCCGGTTTCCACTTGTGCTGCGGTTGTTCCCAAGTGCCAGTCAGTATGCGGGTGCTTCGTGTGCGTGATTTCAGTCACTGCGCACGACTACTGCAGGAGTGGGCACTGATTGGAACAAAGAGTGTCTGATTTCACGTCGCCCAGTCTTCTCATTTGGAATCAGGTCACCCGAAGCACGTCTGGTACCCTTTAACTCCAGCACGCTCATGAACACGACCCTGTGTCTCTCCAAACACTTCATCCCTTTCTCCTCTGCATCACCGGCCGGGCGGGGCCGGGCCTTGCCTTAGGATAATGAAGATGAAGGAAAGTGAACCCGTGGCACAGCACATCAGTGGAGGGCCTTTGGCCGTCACAGAGATGCATACTGAGAGGCTCCGAACACCTATGCATGGGGAGCCAAGCATGGTGGACACCAGTGCACCCTGGGATAAGATGTGAGGAAGACATGAGTCATCCGTGGACAGGTACAGCAGTTCCCAAAGGAAAGAGGCCAGTGGGAACCCCAAAAAGTCAGGCTCTCAGTGCTGCTCTGTTCTGTCTTTCTAACACCCTGATGCTCTTAACACCCTGCCTGGAGAAACTTGTTCCCTAAATCCACAAAGGGAAGGGCCAACTTGGGGTAATCTTTAAAAAAAATTTTTTTTCCCCAATATTGTTGCTGCTGCTGCCTGCTTGGCATTATCTGTGAGTAATCTTGTGGATTTGGCAAACATGGGGACCAACTTGCTTTGGGAAATGCCAGAAGTGGAACATTTGAGTAAAATTTTCAGGAAAATACAATAAAATGTTCCTGAGAGTTAAAATCAATCACTCGAATGTGTGCTTATATTCTTAAGTTTAAAGTTACGTTTCAAGGTGTGGTCCCTTAAAGCATTCATATAAAAATTATCATTAGTTTTGAAAGTTTCTATTTTAAATGACATTGGGATTTTAGTATTATTCCACAGTAAAGAATATGATGTATTAGAGTTCTTGCTCTCACATGTCTCAGCGTTTCCTATTGTTGTTGTTCAGTTGCTGAGTTGTGTCTGATTCTTTGTGACCCCTTGGACTGCAGCATGCCAGGCTTCCCTGTCCTTCACTATCTCCCAGGGTTTATTCAAACTCACCATTGAGCCAGCAATGCCATCCAACCATCTGGTCCTCTGTTACCCTCTTCTCCTTTTGCTTTTCCTATTAGTGGAACAAAATATACCCACTAAAAGATAAGGATTTAAGTTATTTGTGATGCCCAACTAAAATATTGGGCTTCCCAGGTGATCCTGTTTCTAAATAATCCGACTGCCAATGCAGGAGATATGGATTCAGTCCCTCGGTTGGGAAGATCTCCTGGAGAAGTCAATGGTAGCCCATACCAGTATTCTTGCCAGGTAACTCATGGATAGAGGAGCCTGGCAGCTACAGTCCATGGGGTCTCAAAGAGTCCAACATGACTGAGCACACACACACACACACACACACAACTAAAGTATCATCATGAATTAAAGCACATTATTATTCAGAAATGTTGAATGTTTAGGAACCATAAGCAGCTTAATATCTCAAATATTAATTGACAGAAAATCAATTATCTTATGTGAAAATAAGTTCTTTCCCCTTTGAGACTGATTTCCTTTTGTGCAAAAGGAAGATCAATCTGGAATCACTGAGATGGAATGTTGTAGGGGAAGGGTAAACTCACACTCCCTAATTGAATGGACAAGTCAGGGTCTGGCCAGGAGAACAGAAGCTGCTCTTTGTGTTCTAGATATACAGAGTTTAATTGAGAATTAGGAACTTAGACAACTTTTAGAAGAGCTAGGGTCAGGGATGATGAAGTGGGATGCACCAGTGCCAAACTTGTAAAGCTACCCTTGAAGGTCAGAGGAGTTGACACTGAAGCCCATTGGAGTGGTTTTCAAAAGCTTGTGTGCAAGCTACCACACTTCTTGGGAATTTCTGAGACACTCTTTAACTGCCTCAGTCTGCTGGGCCAAGTGGGTGGTTCTCAGAGACTTGCCCATGTGTGCAGAGGCCTCCAGAGAATCAGAGAATTGGCTTCACCTTGTACCCTTGCACGTCTTTTCCAAGTCTTCTCCAAAACTGCAAGATTCCGGGGCAGTTCCTAGGCTTAGGGGTGGTTAGTGGTGGTGCCAGCTTGGCAGTAGTCAATTCAGCACACAGCCTACTTCTCTAAACTCTTGCAGAAAAAGAAAATTTGAAAAAAAATCACAGGACAAAAATAGAGCCTGGCATGAGTTCATTCCTTCCTTCCTTCATTCATTCAACAAAATATGCTTTGAATAGTGAGGGTATGTGCTGTGTCCTTAGAATCCTATCATATAGAGGGAGACTAATCCTTGCTTATTCTAGCCAGGAAGACCATTGACATGCAAGTAACCCCCCCACAAAAAATGATAGGTTTAGACGGTGTGAAGGACATAGTTGCTATGGGGGATGGTCTTTTATATTGAATGCTTCTCTGCTGGTACTTTCACACGATGACTTCTATTAGACTTACCTGGATATATTTCTTATGTCCTCTGTGAGGTTTTAAGCCCTTGGAGGACAGGACGGTAGCCTACTTATAATTTTACTCTTTTAAGTCTTGTATAATCCAGGGCTTCCCTTGTGGCTCAGTTGGTAAAGAATCTGCCTGCAATGCAGGAGACGCATGTTCGATCCCTGGGTCAGGAAGATCCCTGGAGAAGAAAATGGCAAGCCACTCCAGTATTCTTGCCTGGAGAATTCCACGGAAAGAGCAGCTTGGCAGACTACTGTCTATGGGGTTGCAAAAGAGTCGGACATGACTAAGTGACTAACACTTTGTATTACACTAAGTTGGATATATTTCTTACTTTCTCTGGGAAGTTTTAAGCCCTTGGAGGGCAGGAAAGGTAGTCTAATTATAATTTTACTATTTATAAGTCTTATATAGGAGAGTAGGCACTAAATAGATATTAGACAAATGTGGGACATGGTTCAGAATTCCATACAGAGTCAGGAGGTTGCAGGCCAATCAGATGGGTGAAATGTTTTAGTTTTATGTATGATTCACATATTCATGTGGACAAGGGGTCATGATAGGGATTGGTTACATGTCCCTCTGATTCCTCTGTCACATACCTGGGGTGTAAGCCTTGGCTCTCTGGTTCTCAAGAGTTCTGAGAAAATTCTGTGAGGGAATGGAGTCCTCCAGTCTAACTGCCTGAAGAGGGCAGAGTCAAAGGTAACAGATATTATCAGAAGGTAAAAGGCATTGATTAATATACTAGACTAGTATTCCATTACACTGGCATCCTAAAAGATGGAAGTGAAAATTTAAAGCCCATCACAAGTTCAAGAGAAGAAATATTTTAGCTTGAACTACTCAGATGTTTAACACATCTGTATCCAACTATGACATGTTAGTGGACTAATTGTGTACCTCCCAGGAGAATGACCCATAGAGTGAAACTTACAAACAGCATCAATGTAGGTTTGTTTAAAGTGACTTTTTGGGGATAATGTCAAAAGCCCACATCTTGGGACTTTCTGGGTAGTCCAGTGGTTAAGACTCCTAGCACCCAATTCAGGGGGCACAGGTTCAATCCCTGATTGGGGAACTAAGATCCCACATGCTCCATGGCACTGACACCCCCCCGCCCCACATCTTCCTGAAAAGCAGATTATATAATGAATTACCTGTTGAGAACTCTTCTCCCCTGTTGTTTGAAAATGTAAATCAGATTTTCAGTCTCTTCTATTTTATCAGAATGGAGCCAATCAGAAGGAGAAATGTGCCAAATCAGGTCTCTTGTCTTTTTGGCTACATCTTCACAGAAACATATCCCGAAGCATCTCTTCTCCGTAGGGTCTCAAAGTGTTGAACATGACTGAGCGACCAAGCACAGCACAGTAAGAAATAAGCAATCTTGGTGCCCAAGATTGATTGGGAAGAGAAACAGAAAGTGAGAAAGTGTTAGTTGCTCAGTCGTGTCTGACTCTTGGCCACCCCATGGACTGCAGTCTGCCAGGCTCCTCTGTCCATGGGATTTTCCAGGCAAGGATACTGGAGTGGGTTGCCATTTCCTTTTCCAGGGGATCTTCCCAACCCAGGGATTGAACCTGGGTCTCCTGCACTGCAGGTAGATTCTTTACCAATTGAGCCACCAGGAAGAGTAAGTTGTAAATTTTGCTGCTGTCTGTACACAGATTATTACATGTGTCTGGTTAGAAGGCAACTAACTTGGGGGAACTTTCTGTGGCTCACCATTTCCTCTTCTGCTTTCTAATTGCACCCAAACTATTAATCGCACATTTTGCTCCAGCCTGTGTTGCATCCAATGATAAACAGATGAATCCCAGCCACAGTATGAATATGGGAAATCTGTTTGGGACAGTATGTTTCATATTTCTCCCCAGCTGCCTCCTGCTTCCGTCTTCATAAAGTCTGCAAAAAATTTAGGATTTCTCACTGTGATCTCTGAAGCAGTGTCCTCCACTCCCATCCCCCCTTTTCCTCTTCTGCCACTATAAATTATTTCTCCAGTAGTGATTTATGTAGTGTCTCTAAGAAAGAAAGTCTGTGATAGCAACACAAAGAGAAATATGCTCCAGATGAAAAGTCACCCATGCACCCCCATCCCACCAGGGTGGTGTCCCAGAGCATTAAACCATAGTTTTCTTTGATTCTCTTGACTGTGAAAGAAAAGAGAAAAACTTACTCCCTCTCCCACATCCTTCTCTTCATTTCAGACTGAAGTACATTTAATCATCTCTCAGTGTCATGTTAATATGTGCTGATAATTATTAGGGAAAAGATGAGCTTAGACACAAGATCAGTGGTACCAGACTAGGCCCATGTATTACAATCCACATGTCTCTTTCAAGCATGTTGAAAGAGATGTTCAACATGAACCGTTTAACTTATTAATTTGGCTTGACTTAATTTGTCTCTACTAGGTATATCATGAAAGTAATATGGTAAACAAAATTTGGGGGGAATTTCCATATTTGAAAATAGTGAATTGCTATGTTTTTCTTTGCTGTGACAAGTAATCAATCAAAATGTTTATTGAGTGCCATATGTTGTTGTGAAATCTACATCATAGTCTGGAATGGCAATCTAAGGTAACTCACTTGGTTATCTTGTAGATTCTTTTATTCTGTAATGTATAGACCTATCCCCTTCTTCAGGTTTAGCATATTGTAAGCAATTGTAATTGGAGGATGTCATACGGGGCACAGAAATAATCTTACTTTCTAGAGATTAATATGAGAAGCTGAATTTCCAGTCACCATAGTGAATGACCATAGGGTTGGCACAAAGGGAAATAGTTTCAAATAGAAGAGTTCAAATGTAACAAAGAAGAAGAGTTGCTACCTTAAGAAAGTCAGATGGTTGTCTGTCAGATGGCTTCACAAGGTGGGATTTACTGTCATGAATTCATAATGATGTGAACTTGTAGGGTCAGAAAGTTTTTATCACTGTGTTGAAAATGTGTTCTTTCCATGGGAGCTGACTCATCTTAGTCAATCTCATAGAGACTGATGTAAAATCACAATGTCAGCTTATTAATTTAGATTAAGAAATAATTGGCAGAGAGACCCAGATTTAAATTTATCCATTTAAAGTTGTTTAACATAATGATTTTTAGTAAATTTATGAAATTGTACAAATATCATGATGGTAGTTTTAGAACATTTCTCCTTAAAATATCCTTCTAGCTCATGTGCAGTGATCCCTGTTTCCATCCTTATTGATCTCTGAACTCTTCATCCACCATTTCAGAGGGGTATAAGTGTGAAGAGGTGTTGTCAATTTCTTTTTGCAATACTGTAAATTTTTGTTTTACACATTTTGTGGTTATTAAGTACATACAAACTGAATATTATTATATTTGGTAGGCAAAAATTTTACTTAACCATTATATAGTATCTATCTCTAAAAATTCCTTTTCTCTTAAAGTCTATTTTGTTTGCTATTAATCTGCCTACAAAAACCTTCTTTGGATTCATATTTACTTGGTATACCTTTCTCATTGTGCGTGTGTGCTAAGTCACTTTAGTCGTGTCCGACTCTTTGCGACCCCATGGACTGTAGCCTGTCAAGCTCTTCTGTCCATGGTATTGTCCAGGCAAGAATACTGGAATGGGTTGCCATTCCCTTCTGCAATCTTTCTCATCACATTAGTTTAAATTTTCATGTTTTAAATTATAGGTATGTTTGTTGGCGTCAGCATAAATTGAACTTGGTCTTTATCTAATCTGAGAATCTCAGTCTTTTAACAGGTTAAATTATATACATTCAGTGTGACTGTTGGCATATTTGCATTTATTTCTATGTATTATTTTATGCCTTTTATTTACCAGGCATTTTCCTTTTCTTTTCTTTCTTTACTCACTTCCCCTTTCCTTTCCTGCCTTTTTCACTTGACTGAACTTTCCCCCCAGTTCTCTGCCAATTCTGGTTTGAAACTGATTCCTTCTATATGCATACATACATACATGTGCATATATATACTTTGTGTGTGTGTGTAAGCATATAAATGCCTGTGTGTGTATGTGTATATAAAATCTTTGAAAAGTCTTTTACTATAAAAGTTATCATCATGTACCATTTTAGTTCCATCTTGATTTTTAGATCTACACACGTTTACCATTTCTTTGCATAAAACTATCTCTTGCATTTTATTTTTTCCTTCTGACTTCAGTCACTTTTTCTGAAATGCACATTTTAGATGTTTTTCAGTGAGACTGGTATTAGTAAAGGTTTTGATTCTTGTGTGTCTGGAAATGTCTATTTCATCCTTACTATTGAATAGAAATTTGGTTGGCAATAGAATCCTGAATTATCTGGTATTTTATCTCAGCATGTTGAAATTATATTCCATTGTCAGTTTATTTCTTTTGCTAAGAAGTCTGATACAAGTCTATTTGTCATTCCCCTATCAGGTTTTTAATCTCTGCTTGCTTTTATGATCTCCCTTTACCTAGATTTAATTTATACTTATTTACTCAGCTCAGCACTCACCATGCTTTCTGAATATGAGAATTCATATCATTTGTCTATTCTTGAAAAGCTCATTCTTTTATATTTCTGGAAATCCTATGATGAGCTTTTGCATTCTCTACTCTGTGTCTCTTAAACTCTCACATTTTAAAATCTCTTTTTCTCTGTTGAATTCTGAGTAGCTTTTCATAGAGTCTTGTTATTTTAATGTTTTAAATTATTTACTTAATCACTTTAATCACTTTAAGTATACTTATTTGATAGTAACGTAAAGTTTTTCATTATTTGAATTTTGCTGTTGGATTCTGTTGTATGTTGTGTTTGCTGACTCCCAAATGGGATTCCATAAATTTTTGTCTTTGCAGATTGTGTAAGATCACTTTTAGTTGGGCTCTCTCTATGTGAATTTTGTGCATCTTATGTTGAGGGTGTATTTCTCCATATGTCCCTTTCAGAGATTCCAGGAATTTAAAGGCTTGGGGGAAACTTTTATGTTAATTTTATGGTTTAGGATTCTGAGACTGAATCAGTAGTATACAAACCCCAATTTCTAGTTATGTGTGATGTAGACTAATGGTTATTAATATATGGGATAGATTGTGAACCCTAGTTGAGCTGGTTAGTGGGTTTTCTAGCTGGGTTTTTCCAGCTACTTTAATCATCTTTTTTTTTCCTCCTGTAACCTTAACTCCACACTGACTTTCTACTGGGAGGCAGAGACCCTTATTCACATTGCTGGCCCAAGAACAATGATGTGTCTGGATGGCCTGTTGCAGTACCCTAATTGGTTGATCACCCTGTAGCTTGTCCTTTCTTTCAGTACTTCCAAACGTGAGGATGCTATTTAATTCCAGAGTAGTAGCCTCCTGGCCATGTTCTGGCGCATGCTGAAACAACTTAATAGTCATACCAACTTCAAAGCAAAGGACAAATTATTGCATCTCACAGCTCCCATCACAAAAAAGTAAGCATAATACTAGGTAGACTTGAATGAATTTGGAAACATCATATTTCATGTCTGGCAATTCTGCTCCTGTCTGTACATTAGGTGACCCAAAATACTTTCAGCTTTGAGTGGGATTTGCAGTGGGTCTAGGTTGCAGAACAAGGGGCCTTGCCATTTGGACCATATGGTCCAGCAAACCCTATAACATTAGAGGGATCTGTGGTGGGAATTGCTTGTGACTGAAAGAACTGCCCAAATGAAGATGCCT